AGTGCACGCCATGTCCTGCAGGTACGACGCTGTAATGAATCTGCAGACACTCACGGCCGTGGTAGGCTACTACTGTCCGTCGGGGACGAGTGACTACAGCGGGCTAGCGTGTCCGCAAGGGTTCTACTGTCCGCAAGGAACACGCACGATGCACGAGTATCCGTGTCCGAAAGGCACATACAGCAACCAGACGATGCTGCAGAACGTGACGCAGTGCGTGTATGCGCCGGGCGGAATGTACGTCGACATTGTCGGAGCAACATCGCCAGTTGCCAACTGCTCGAGTGGGTACTATTGTACGGGTGGCGCTGTAAACGGTACGCCTGAAACGGGGCCATTGGGCGGTCCGTGTCCACTGGGGGCCACGTGTCTTGTTGGCTCGTCGCAACCGACGCCGTGCAAAGCTGGGCACTATTGTCCTGATATTGCGACCACGCTGCCGTGTACAGCTGGCTTTTACTGCCTCCAGGCACGTGAAGGTCACATTACTATCGATGTTTATGCTTGATTAGGGCTCGTACACGCCGACGCCGACGGGACAGACAAATGTCTTTGGTGTCATTGGCAACCAGTGTCCACAAGGCTCGTACTGCCCCCAAGGCTCAAGCAACCCAACCCCGTGCCCCGCCGGCACGTACGGCGCCTCGCCCCAGCTGCCCAACGTCTCGTCCTGTTCGATGTGTGACCCCGGCTTCATCTGCCCGACGACGGGGCTCGTCAGCGCGTCGACATTATGTCCCGCTGGCTCGTACTGCCCTGGAGGGCAGGTCACCGGCGCAGAACACTCTTGCCCACTGGGCTCTGCATGTCCCCTTGGGTCGATCGTGCCGCAACCGTGCGCTGCGGGTACATTTGCCAACAACACTGGCCAAAGCGTCTGTTCGCCATGCCCTCCTCAGTTTTACTGCCTCAATAACGCGTCTGTTCCATTGCCGTGTCCGGCGGGGTACTTTTGTCCGAGCCAAACGCAGTTCGCGACGCAGTTTGCGTGTCCCGCAGGCTCGATAAGCAACCAAGCACAGCTGCAGTCAGCGGCGCAGTGCGACGACTGTCCGCCGGGTCACTATTGCAATGGCCAAGCTCCGACAAGTACTCCACTGAGTGTAGTGCGCAAACACTCACGTATCGCTTGGCTCGTAGATGTGCCGTCCGGACGGTGCGCGCCATCATTCTACTGCAGTAAACGCGCTACTGGACCGCGACCCAACGACACGACGGGAGGTCTTTGTAGCCCTGGCTATGTACGACGCGCGATTCTGAACGATGGCATGCAGCGATACTGATGCATCCTAGGTGTGCTTGGATGGGTCGTCCGTGCCCAACCCCACCGATGGTGTCACGGGCTTTGCATGTCCACCAGGAAACTACTGCCCCATGGGCTCGGCCTTCCCAGTTGGCTGCACCCCCGGCACGTATAGCCCGCTATTGGGCGCTGGCAGCTGCCTTGGGTGTCCCACAGGATTTTTTTGTCCCCAAAACACATCCGTGCCAATCGGATGCCCCGCTGGCAGTTTTTGCCCCGTCAACACATCACTGCCACAGCCATGTCCCGTTGCTACGTACAGCAATATGGTTAACTTGACGAGCAGCTCGCAGTGCGCGCTCTGCTCGCCGGGTTATTTCTGCAATACCACGGGACTGACACAACCGACGGGGATGTGTGCTTCTGGCCACGTCTGCACCGGAGGTTGGTCATACGAATCTACTATAAGGAATAACTTGCGCTCCCTAGGTTCACCGGTTGCCAACCCTGTCAACGAAACGTTTGGGTCGCTTTGCCCTCCCGGCAACTACTGTCCGCAGGGCTCCGCCACAGGCACAAAATGCCCCATGGGCACATATCGACCGACACTGCAGGGACAATCCGTGAGCGACTGTTCTCCATCGCCTGGAGGCACGTATACCAACGCGTCAGGACTCACCGCGCCGTCCGGAGTGTGCGATGCAGGATACTACTGCTCTCTCAGTGCCTCGACACCTCGCCCTGTGGATGGTGCGACCGGCAACATATGCCCATTTGGCTTCTACTGTCCCCAAGCCACGACAACACCGCTCCTATGCCCGGAAACCACCTACAGCGGCACCCTCGGGCAAGCTCAGTGCACGCCATGTCCCGCCGGCTCGTTTTGTGACGGGGTCCTCACGGACCGCCACCAAGTGTGCCCCCAAGGTGCCTACTGCCCACCGAGCACGGGTGCCTCGCAGCCACCGTGTCCGGTCGGCTCGTTCAACAATGGCACGGGTCTGCCGGCGATCACCAATTGCACCGTGTGCACACCCGGGTCGTTCTGCGCCAGCGTTGGCCTCGTGCAACCCACAGCGTTGTGCCAAGCCGGTTTCTTCTGCAACGCCGGTGCTGTCAACGCGTTCGGACAAACGACGAGTCAGCTCGTCAACGGAACATTGTCTGCCAACGCGTCATCGTGTCCGAGCGGTAGCTACTGTCCCGTCGGGACATATCAGCCGGTGCCGTGTCCTGTGGGGACGTACTTGCCGACGCGCGGTGGGCGGCAGCTGTCCGACTGTCAACTGTGCACACCGGGACAGTACTGTGATACGACGGGTGCTGTGGCGCCGAGTGGCCCATGCGACCCGGGGTACTTTTGCCAGCACAACAACGCCGTGGCGCGGCCGACCAGTATGACGACGGTGAATAGCATGCAATTGGGCGGCGGCGTGTGTCCGGTAGCCAACTTTTGTCCCGGTGGGTCGAGCGCGCCGACGTTGTGTGCGGCAGGGACGTACTCGATCAGTACGGGTGCAAGTCAGTGCACGCCATGTCCTGCAGGTACGACGCTGTAATGAATCTGCAGACACTCACGGCCGTGGTAGGCTACTACTGTCCGTCGGGGACGAGTGACTACAGCGGGCTAGCGTGTCCGCAAGGGTTCTACTGTCCGCAAGGAACACGCACGATGCACGAGTAT